ACCCATGGCCTTGGTGTTATCAGCACCGCACTCTCCCGAGTGAGCCACGGGCCGGCCTCAGGGAAAGTTTTAGAGACTGGTTAAATGGTGGTGAGCAGAATGCTTATAGAAATATGGACTGTAAAGACCCTTCTAAGGAGGTCTCAGATGTAAATGAGAAGGGACTTATTGGAAACTGGAGCAAAGATCACCTTCGCTGTGAACTGGCCAGGAACTTGGCTGTGTTGTGTCCATGTCCTAGGATTTTTTGGAAGTTGGAACTTAGGAGCTGTGAACCAGAGTATTTGGTGGAAGAAATTTCTAAGCAGCAAAGCATTAAGAAGCTGCCTGATTACTTGTAACAACCTACGCTGAGTTATGGTGGCAAAGGCATGACATAAAGCCAGAATTTAAAAGGGAAGCAGAGCATAAGGTTTGGAAAATTTGCAGCCTGGCCATGTGGTAGAGAAGCAGAGAGCATTTTCAGAAGAAAAATTCAATGATACTAAGAAGATTCACTCAAAAGTACAGGATTATCAAGAGAAAGGGGGGCCTTTGCAGAAGCCTCTAGGGCCAACTCTTCCATTCTGGCTCAAAGACCTAGGGAGATAGAATTGTCTTGGGGAATAGGCTTGAGGAGCCCTCCACGGGCTCACAGCTCAGGACCACCTTAGGAAGCTGCTTCCAGCACCAGCACCCCAGCTACTTTGGCTACTCCAGCTGTGGGTAAATTGGCCCCAGATGTGGTTGGACATGCAGCTTTGGAAATTACAAGCTGGAAGCCTTGGCAGCGTCCATATGGTGTTAGGTCTTCAGGCTTGCAGAATGCCAGAGCTGTGGAGGCTTGAGAGCCTCCACCCCAATTTCAGAGGATGTATGGAAAAATCTGGGGGCCCAGGAAGAGATCTGTCACAGGGGACACTACAGACAGCGTTCACTAGAGCAATGCCGAGCAGAAATGTGGGGTCAGAGTTGCAGCAGAGAAACCCCTTCAGGGCCATGTATACAGGAGCCATGAGAGGTGGACTGCCACGGAGACCCCAGATCTGTGGAGCTACCAGTGTGCAGTGCCAGCCTGTGAGAACTAAAGCATCACCTGAGACCAGGAAAGCCATAGGAGCAGAGCTGCCTGAGGACTTGGGGACCCAACCCCCACACCAGCGTGCAGAGGAGATCGAACATGGAGTCAAATCACCTCATTTACCAGCATTGAGATTTAATGCCTGCCCTGCTGGGTTTCGGACTTTTTTGGGACTTGTTACCCCTTTCTTCTGGTGTATTTCTCCCTTTTGGAATAGGAATGTGAACCCTGTTTGTCCCACCATTGTATCTTTTTTTTTTTCCTTTTTATCTTTTCTCATGTCCGGCAACGGACCGCAACCCTCAGTGTCGTGCCCGTACCGGACCGGACCAGACCAGCAACGGGATCGCAACCCTCGGTGCTGCGCCCGCACCTCGCTCAGCCAGTGAGCGGCCGGTCTGTATGTGGGATCCGAACCCTCAGCGGGAGCGCCGCCGCGCTCTCAAGCGGCGCACTGTAGCAGTGCGCCACTGGGCCGGTCCCCACCATTGTATCTTGGACGTAGATGACTTGTATTGATTTCATTGGACTTTGAACTTTGGACTCTTGAGCTGAAACAAGTTAAGACTTAGGGGATGAAATGAATGTATTTGCATGTGAAAAGGACATGAGTTTTGGGGGGCCAGGGATGGAATGTAGTGGATTGGATTATGTCCCCCCAAAACTCCCTGAAGCTTGAATTGTGTCCCCCAAATTTTATGTATTAGAAACTTAGCCTCCACTGTGACTGTTAAGAGTGTGGGAAATCCTATTATGGTAATTGAAAGGTGGAGCCTTTAAGAGGTGATTGGATTGCAGGACCCTGCAGTAGTAAATGGATTAAAAATGGTGTTCAGGGGTGTGGTTCTGAGGTCTTTAAAAGAAGAGGACAGTCTCTCTCTCTCCCTCCCTCCCTCCCTCCCTCCCTCTCCCCCTCCCTCCCTCCCTTCCTACTTCCCTCCTTCCACCATCTTGCAAAACTGCATTTTCTTTATAAATCACTCAGTTCCAAGTATTCTGTTACAAGCAACACGAACAGACTAATACAGATGGCATGGTGCTCAGGGCAGGGCATGGGAGTTGGAGTGAGCTGAGAGCATGGTCCAGCCCTCCAGGAGGGGAATGTTCTAGGGAGACAGTGAGGAGGCCCTGGGTGGAGTGGGGGGTGCCCAGCTCAAAGGTTCTAGCTGCAAACCCAGGTCCTGCAGTGGGGAGGGGGCTACCTCCACCCGGGTCCTGTATGCGTGGGCCTGACACCAGCTGAGGGCTACAGATGAGGGCAGACCCCCAAGGCCCCCTCATGCATGGTGGGGGCAGTCCCAGCATGGCTCTGAGTCCTGGACAGGGCCCTGGCATCCCCAACGCTCCTCTTACATGGTCCCCAAGTCCACGTGGCTATTAGTGGTTTATTCATGGTCTCCCCAGCCTCTGAGAGCAGCTACAGGCCAGGCTGCCCCCAGCCCGTGAAGCAGACCCCAAGCCCTGGCGAAGGGGTTGAGGAAGGAGGCCCAGGGCCCTGCAGTCTGGGATGTGCCATGCAGCCTGTCCTTCCTGGCTGGCTGTCCAGCCTCGCTGTGGCCCTGCCACCTCAGGAGTCATCCCTGCCCTGCACCCTCCCTGTCTGAGTTTCCTCATGAAGAGGAGAAGCTGGCAGGGTTGAGAGACCGTGGCTTCAGGAACCGAGAGGCCTGGGTTCAAGTCCTGCCCCAGCCAGCCACGATCCGGTGGCTTTGGGGGTTATTTATACCCTCCGAGCCTCAGTCCCCCATGTAAAGTGGGGATAATAATCCTACCTCCTAAGGGTTAAATGAGACAATGTAAGGAAAGCTCCTTGGACAGGCCCAGACATAGCAGGGACTCCATAAGTGATGAGTATTATGGTTATTCTCACGCCCACTGCCCAGCCCACCCAGACCCTGTCTCCAGCGGGAAGTGAGGGTGGGGAGGGAGGGGCAAGGGAAGGGCTTTGCAGCGGGTGCTGGTTCCCCCTGGACCTTGTCCCTGGAGGCGCCATCTGTTCCCCAGACCCCCAGGCCCCGGGAGCCAGTGTCCCTCACAACTGTCCATGCCTGGAGCCCAGCCCCACTCAGGGCGTCTTCAGGCCTCAGGGGCTGGGTCTCTGGTCAGTGGGGGACTTGTCCTGGAGACCTGGGCTCCTACTTCCTGTCGCTGGCCCCATCAGCGTTCTTCTGCCCAGGGTTGGGACCAAGCAGGGCAGCAAGGGCGCCATCAGCATGAGGGCCACCACGCTTCATCTTGAGGCTGGCTCTCAGGGCGGCATCCTGGCTGGAGCCCCCCTCAGGGGAGGCCAGGGGATCTGGAGGGAGAGCAGGAGGGTGGGCTCGAGACAGAGCTTTGGGAGGACTTGGAGGCATTTTGCTCCTGGGACCTGTCCACGGAGAGAAGCCCTTGTCTGGACAAAGCAAAGCAGCATCGGGCTTTTGGCTCCTCATCCACTCGTTCACTCTCCCATCCATTCATTCACCCACCCACCCATCCATTCATTCACCCACCCACCCATCCACCCATCCATTCATTCACCCATCCACCCATCCATTCATTCACCCATCCATTCATTCATTCATTCATTCATTCATTCACTCACTGCTCAACAAACGCTGAGGGGCCCGCAGAGGTCTCCACTCTGCTCCAGGGGCTCCCAGCGTGCGAGGGAGAGACATGGAAACAACACCCCATTATGGAGTGGAAGNAGTGGGGAGGGGGCTACCTCCACCCGGGTCCTGTATGCGTGGGCCTGACACCAGCTGAGGGCTACAGATGAGGGCAGACCCCCAAGGCCCCCTCATGCATGGTGGGGGCAGTCCCAGCATGGCTCTGAGTCCTGGACAGGGCCCTGGCACCCCCAACGCTCCTCTTACATGGTCCCCAAGTCCACGTGGCTATTAGTGGTTTATTCATGGTCTCCCCAGCCTCTGAGAGCAGCTACAGGCCAGGCTGCCCCCAGCCCGTGAAGCAGACCCCAAGCCCTGGCGAAGGGGTTGAGGAAGGAGGCCCAGGGCCCTGCAGTCTGGGATGTGCCATGCAGCCTGTCCTTCCTGGCTGGCTGTCCAGCCTCGCTGTGGCCCTGCCACCTCAGGAGTCATCCCTGCCCTGCACCCTCCCTGTCTGAGTTTCCTCATGAAGAGGAGAAGCTGGCAGGGTTGAGAGACCGTGGCTTCAGGAACCGAGAGGCCTGGGTTCAAGTCCTGCCCCAGCCAGCCACGATCCGGTGGCTTTGGGGGTTATTTATACCCTCCGAGCCTCAGTCCCCCATGTAAAGTGGGGATAATAATCCTACCTCCTAAGGGTTAAATGAGACAATGTAAGGAAAGCTCCTTGGACAGGCCCAGACATAGCAGGGACTCCATAAGTGATGAGTATTATGGTTATTCTCACGCCCACTGCCCAGCCCACCCAGACCCTGTCTCCAGCGGGAAGTGAGGGTGGGGAGGGAGGGGCAAGGGAAGGGCTTTGCAGCGGGTGCTGGTTCCCCCTGGACCTTGTCCCTGGAGGCGCCATCTGTTCCCCAGACCCCCAGGCCCCGGGAGCCAGTGTCCCTCACAACTGTCCATGCCTGGAGCCCAGCCCCACTCAGGGCGTCTTCAGGCCTCAGGGGCTGGGTCTCTGGTCAGTGGGGGACTTGTCCTGGAGACCTGGGCTCCTACTTCCTGTCGCTGGCCCCATCAGCGTTCTTCTGCCCAGGGTTGGGACCAAGCAGGGCAGCAAGGGCGCCATCAGCATGAGGGCCACCACGCTTCATCTTGAGGCTGGCTCTCAGGGCGGCATCCTGGCTGGAGCCCCCCTCAGGGGAGGCCAGGGGATCTGGAGGGAGAGCAGGAGGGTGGGCTCGAGACAGAGCTTTGGGAGGACTTGGAGGCATTTTGCTCCTGGGACCTGTCCACGGAGAGAAGCCCTTGTCTGGACAAAGCAAAGCAGCATCGGGCTTTTGGCTCCTCATCCACTCGTTCACTCTCCCATCCATTCATTCACCCACCCACCCATCCATTCATTCACCCACCCACCCATCCACCCATCCATTCATTCACCCATCCACCCATCCATTCATTCACCCATCCACCCATCCATTCATTCACCCATCCACCCATCCATTCATTCACCCATCCACCCATCCATTCATTCACCCATCCACCCATCCATTCATTCACCCATCCATTCATTCATTCATTCATTCATTCACTCACTGCTCAACAAACGCTGAGGGGCCCGCAGAGGTCTCCACTCTGCTCCAGGGGCTCCCAGCGTGCGAGGGAGAGACATGGAAACAACACCCCATTATGGAGTGGAAGGCTCCTCAGAGCCCTGTAGAACAAAGCGGAGGGCTCAGGGCAGGCTTCTCAGAGGAAGACGTCTTTGAGCAGGCCCTGGAGTGAGAGTCGTGTTCACCAGGCGGAGGGACCAGCCTGAGCAACGGTGTGGAGGTGGGAGGGAGCCTGGCGTGACTGGGTGCTGGTCTGTCACTGGGCACGGGGCTATGCTGGGTAGCGTCGTGGGGAGCTGGGCTGATGCACCTGGATGTCTGTCATGGGCAGGAGGGACTTCTGGGGGTCCCTGAGCAGGGGAGGGACAGGGTCAGACTGGGGTTTGGCGAATACCATCTGACAGCGGAGTGGAGGGGCCACTGAGGCAAAGAGACCAGAGACCCAAGGCAGTTGCCGTGAAGGCAGCAGTGAGCTGAGGGAGGGGAGAGGTTCCCAGCGTGGTGGCCCTGGTCACGACTCACCGTGGATCCCAATCATGTGCTCCAGAATGAGGACCCTCTCGGCCAGGATCTTCAGGGCCTCCCGCAGCTGCTGCACCCCCTCGCCCTGGCAGGGAGGAAGTGGCCAGGGTCAGGGCCGGCCATGGGAGGGAGTCGGGGCCAAGCTGACACAGGGCACATGTCCCTGCAGCCCTGCCCTCCTGTCCCGTCCCACTGCCACCATCATCACTACAAATAGCCACCCTAGTTCGAACATCCCCTGTGTGCCAGGCTGGGGTCCAAACCTTGCTCACAGATGAGCAACCCAGAGTGCAGAGAGACTCAGCATCCCTCCCTACGGCCATGCAGCCTGGAAGGGGCTGATCTGGGCTTCAAACCGGACCTGTAGCCTCCAGCCGGGGCTCTTCTTTCTACCATGGTGGCTTCTCCTGCGTGCCCTATTTGCCGCATAGGAAATATTCTCTAATATTTTTCTAATGCAGGCAGAGCTCCCAGCACTGGGCCCTGCAGGTGGGAGGCCCTGTGCCCGTTTCCTTCTTGGACGGCCCAACCAAGAGCATCTGCCAGATCAACGCTGCAGAGCAGCAGGGACAGGCCAGGTGTGCCCACACCAGGCCAGAAACAGAGACAGGGCACCGCTTGGAGAGCGCTGGCAGCTGAAACAAAGACGGAGTCTACGCTCCCAGGATCCGGTCTACACATGGGCAAAGGACCTCGTGCATGGGGACACATGAATGAGCTGAGATGGGGTGCCGACTTATTGAGAAGACAGGTGTCAAGGCCACTGTCCCCAGCCAGCCCAGCCCTGGCAGTTGGCAGCCAAACGAGCACCTTTTGCTGGTGTAACCTGACAGATCTGTGTTCAGATCAATTCAGCTAAAGATGAAACAAAAGGAAACCAAAAGCACCTTACTGGGTGACAGCAGAGAGGTGTCCCCACCAGGGACAAAGGCACTGGAAAGCAAGCTGAGTGCAGTGTCTGGGAAGGGGGATGTCGATGTCCCCAACTCAGGGAGAGAGCTCTGGGCAGGAGCAGGGGCTTCCAGGTCCCCTCTGTCAGGGCCCTGGCTCAGCCTCATGTCCCTGAGCCACAGGTTGTGCATCTTATGAAATGGGGTGGGGGCTCTTGGGTAACCTCTCAGCTCCCATTGCAAGTGGCCTGTGCATCTGGGCTGCTCGTCAGCAGCTCTGACCTCTCCTTCCTCGCTGCCTCCTGCACCCACTCTGGCTGCTCCATCCTCTTCTCCTCCTCTGCTCCTGCAAGGACCTCCCAAAGGTCCCCCAGCCCCTGCCTTGCCCCTGCCCACCTCCCCCGCTTGGCAGATGCCCCAGCTCACTCCCCAATGGCCTGTGCTGGGACCCACCTAGGGGAGGGGAGCCCCCTCGGGTACCTTCATTCTCAGCTTTCAAGGCCTCCCCTGCACCTCCAGAAGGCAGGGTCCCCCCGGCCTCCAATCCTCACTCCTCAGGTTCCCAGCTCGAACCCCCTCCTCCTCCATCTGTCCCCTCCCACGTCCCCAGCTGTGCATCCTTCTGCCCACCAGCACCTTGACCCTGTGGGTGCGTCCTTATGCCAGGCCCTGATCATGGAAGGCCCTGTCCCCTGATAGGGACCCCACAGCCTGAAGCCTCCTTCAGAGAGAGAGAGACTTTTCTACAGGTTCGCGGCTGCTCCGCCCCTTGGGAGACTCCCCACTCCCACCCCTCAGGGCAAGTCACCCCACCTGTGGCACCCCCATGGCAGCAATCTGTACACCGTCCTGCGGTCACGACCACCCCGAGTGTCTCCCCCACTGGGCTGTGAACTCCTCCAGGGCGGGGACCCTATTCACCCCACGGCCCAACACCCAGCTCAGGGCCGGCTGAGGCTGTCGGTACAGATCTGGGGTACCTGCCACCCCCACGCACTCACAGCCAAGGGCACAGGAGGGGAAGCGCGGGCCATGGCACAGTTACCTCTGCAGAGGCGGCGGCCTTCTCCCCGTCCTCCCCCTTCACTCCAGGCTCACCCTAGGAAGCAAGTCACGCAGTCAACAAGCAGTCGCCCCAGCTTCTCAGGCAGACCTCAGGGGCCCACAGGGGGTCAAGGGCGGGCTGGACAGGCAGGGCTTGGGGGCAGGGGCTGGGCCAGGGCCAGTTACTGTGTGACCTTGAGCAAGTTGCTGTACCTCTCTGTGCCTCAGTTTTCTCACCTCTAAAATGGGGGTGATAATAGTACCTATGTTGTGGAGTTATTAGGTGAATTAAGTACATCAGTATTGACAATGAGCTTAGACTAGAGCCTGTCACCTAGACAGGCCATCAAAGTGTCCACCATTGTTATTTGTCACTAGACAGAAGCGCAGGAGGAGGGGTGGCTTTGCAGGCTGACACTCCTGTTCAGGGGCCCACAGGGGGTCAAGGGCGGGCTGTCCCCTTGGGGACAGGGGCTGGGCCAGGGCCAGTTACTACTGTGTGACCTTGAGTGAGTTGCTGTACCTCTCTGTGCCTCAGTTTTCTCACCTCTAAAATGGGGGTGATAATAGTACCTATGTTGTGGAGTTATTAGGTGAATTAAGTACATCAGTATTGACAATGAGCTTAGACTAGAGCCTGTCACCTAGACAGGCCATCCAAGTGTCCACCATTGTTATTTGTCACTAGACAGAAGCGCAGGAGGAGGGGTGGCTTTGCAGGCTGGCACTCCTGGGTTTAAATCCCAGCTCGACTGCTGCCTAGCTGTGTGACCTTGGGCATGTTACTTAACCTCTCTGAGCCTGAGCTGCCAGTTCCGGCAAATGGAGATAAGAGAGCGCGGCCTCCCAGGGCCGCTCTGAAGCATGTGCTGTGGACAAAGAGCACCTGCATCGTGGCCAGCACATAGTAGGTGCTCGGAAAAAAGCCCTCCTCCTCCCCTGCCCCAGGCCCCTAAAGCAAGGCTCGGGCAGGAAGGAAGCGCCTGCTTCCTTGGCCCTGGAGGCACAAGACGAGACTCATAAATTTCTGTTTCCGAGAAGGGCAATTAGAGGCCAGCTGTCTAAGCCTCTTATTTCTGGGAGGTTCAGGGAAGGGAAGGGACTCGGCGGGTCACACAGCACATTAACACAGGGCCCAGGTCACCCAGCGTGTTATCCCCTGGGTCCGGGCTCCCCGAAAGAAAACTTGAGACTCTCGTCCAACCCTCCTGAGGCTGCTGCCCTCCTCAGCTCCCCTGGCAGCAGCTACTCCAGCCCCTGCTCACACACTCCGGGGGAGGGGCCCCTCCCAGGTCGCCCCGTCTCAATTTGGGCAGCCCAGCCTGCAGCATTTGCCCCGTTCCCTCCTTCTGCACCCCCCACCCTGGTTGGGTTGCAGACCACGGGGCTGAGCTCAGGCGAGGCCACCCAGGACAGACCTCCCCCACCCTAGCACCCTGGCCTGCACCAGGGCCCACTGCCCCGGGAGTGGCCCCGGTGCCCCGCCATGCACTTACAGACGGCCCAGCCGTGCCCTGCTCCCCAGCCAGGCCCTGCAGAAGATCAAACAAAGCCTGTGAGGACCTGCCTGTCCTTGCCCAGTCGCCAGTCTCCCCTCCCGCACTCTCCCCTGGGGCTCCAGGTCTGAAAAGGAGGATGAGGGGAGGGTGGCATGGGGGACACGGGAAGGCCAGACTCTGGGGATGCCCAGGCCCCGGGCCGCCCTCCTCAACCAGTGCGCAGAGAGGAGGGCCCTCAGAGGACAAGTGACTGCAACGGCCATGGGGACGGTCCCAGGTGTGCTGACACCCAGCCCAGACAGGTCCCTGGGGCCCCAGGCCTGTGTGTCCAGTCGTCCTCGGACACCTGCACCAGCGGACCAGGGGCACCCGCTCCACCTCTCTCCAAAGGGGAACTCCTGGGCCCCCACCCCACAGTCTCCCCTTCTCAGGAGATGGCTCCGTGGTCCCCCTGGCCCTGGGCACACCTGGGAGGTGACCTTGAGCTGCCCTTTCCTCACTCGCCAGATTCACTGCATCAGCTGGACCGTCAGCTCCGCTTTATAATAAATATGTCCCTTCGCTTTGCCATTTCCACTGCTGCCACCATAACGCAAGCCGGCTTCATGTCCCCTCCCTGTGCTGTGTGGCTCCTTGTTCCCATCCCCACCTTCCATCCCCCACAGCAGCCAGAGGGGCCTTTCACAAAGTCACCCTCCCTGAAACACACTGAGCTCCCTCCACCGTGATGACAGCCCACGCCTGAGCCCCGCGGGTGACACCTGCCTGTGCCACCTCGTCCCTCCCACACTGTCCTTTGCTCAGCACCGGCCTCTTCCCTGCCTCAGGGGCCTTTGCCCGGGCTCTTCGCTGTCTGGAACTGATGGACCCACCTTCCCTGGGACCCCCAGCCAGATGGGCTGGCTCCCCCCTGAGTGACTCATACTGGTAAGGAGACTGGCTTCTTCTCTCCCAGGAGACCCCCAGCCTGCACCCCACACTATGCTAGAAAGGGCAAAGTCCTTACCTGGGATCCGGGTGTTCCTGGGGGTCCTGGGGGACCATGTGGTCCAGGGGGACCTATGGGCAGAGTCACAGATGATCACCTGGGGCCAGAGAACCCCACTGCCCGTCCCGCCCCCCATGAGCTCTGGAGAGGGACCCGCCCGGCCTCCTGCTCCCAGCACCTGCCCTGGGCCTGTCTCCATGGGCAGTAAATGAAGTTTGTGGAATGAATGGTGGGGGAGGGGGAGGCACACGCTGCCCCTCCCAGGGCCTCGTCCGTGTGGCCGTCCCAATCCCGAGACCTGGGAGACCATGGAGGGAGTCCGTCCACACTGCCCCCCACTCCCCAGCCAGCCAGCCTCCTGGTGAGTCTCTCTCACATCGGCCCCGCCTTGAGCCCAGCCCCCTCTGAGGCCACCCCTGTCGCCTGGGTGACTTTAAAAACCTCCAGACCTTCCGCTCTCCACGCGGCCACCCAGAGCGAGCTTTTAGAAATGCAAACCCGGTTAGGCACCTTTCAGGGCCCCTGAAGTCCTCAGCCAGGCCCCTTCCCACCCTCACCCCCTACATGCCCTTCTGGAAAGTTCCTCTGCTTTGCCAAAGCTGTTCTTTCCTCCTAGAGCTTCCCTGTCTCTCCACTTTCCCTGCAAACTTTCCTGTTGGTCTTTCCTGCTGGTCTCAGGCTGAGGCTGAGCGTCGCCTCCTCGAGGAAGACTTCTCAGCACCCACCTCCACCCTTCCTCTAGGTAAATGTCACTCGGCCATGGCCGAGGCCACTCTGCTTTACATGTCTGTCTCCCCCCAGGCCGGGGTGTGGCCAGAGGGTCAGGCTGGGTCTAATGTGCCCGGCATGTTCGGAAGAGGGAGGCCTCTGTCCCCAACGACCCCACACAGGCCTGTGCCTCCCAGGCTGTGGGGAGCCCCTGCTGGGCTGTACCACTGTGTCCCCACTCCCGGACTTGGAGAGGACACACGGGAAAGGACTGCCCAGGGGGCGTCACACTCACCCAGCCAGCGGGTCCCGGGACCTCCTGCCTCTCACTGTCCGCTGCCCCAGCTCCCTGCGCGGCCCTCGGCTGCATCTCCCGCCCCAGCTCACGCGAGGGCAGCCCGGGCGGCTGCAGGCTCCTGCTCCAGCAGAGTCACTGGGGGTTCGTGCGTCCAGTCCCACAGGGGAGCTGCCCCCGGGGAAGCGAGGGCTTCGCCTCAGGCCACACAGTGGGTTGGGGCAGACCGAGACCCTAGCACCCTCCCGAGGCTGTGGACCCCAAACCAGCCTTTAGCCCCCTCAATGCCCCTGGGCCAGGCGGGGGGCCTCAATCCAGACCAACCCCGCTGCTGCCCTCTCCACATACCTGGTGGGCCGGGGGGGCCCCGGGGCCCTGGGACGCCTGCCAGCACGGTGTCCACGATGGCAGATGCCAGCTGTGAGTCTCCATCTGTGGGAGCGGCAGAGCCCGCGGTGCTGGGGGCCCGACCTGAGCCAAGGGCAGCACCTCCCACCCCCTGGCCCCACAGCAGCCTGGCAAGAGGACGCTATTGCTCCTCTGCTCAGAGGGCCCACCACACAGGTGAGGACACTGGGTCTGCAGACAGCAGGGTGACACTGGCCCTGGTCCCAGCTCTGCCCCCGCCTGTACCCTCTGGGGGCAGCCTAGACCCCATTCCACTTGGGAATGCGTCCCTTTCTCCTGGGGCAGGCTCCGGTGGGGGACTGGGTGTTTCCATCTCCAGGGCAGCTCCATCAGGGAGGATTTCCACCTCTACTTTACAGATGGGGAAACTGAGGCTCTGAGAGGGGAGGGGGGATTCAGGCGCAGGTCTCAATGCTCAGATGAGGGCTGTGCTCCCTGGGGGGACAGAAGCCTGAGCAAGAGGGGGACTTGGGCTTCTCTGACACCTGACAAAGGTCTCCATCGCCCCCCATAGTGCCCAGACGCCACCAACCCATCCCCACCCAACCTCACAGTGCAGGATGCCGCCGACCCATCCTCTCTTCTCAGAATTTAAAGTCTTGTTTTGTTTTGGCGGCGGCCAGTAAAGGGATGCGAACCCTTGACCTTGGTGTTCTCAGCACCGCGCTCTGAAGTCAGTCCCATTACCCTCCGCTTAAAATCCTTCCCTCGTTGCCCAGGGCGCTCAGCCAGAACCGATGTTCCTCTTGGAGTCTGCAGGCTCCCTCTGCTTGGCCCGCCACCGCCTCACTGTCCCTTGGGCCCAGCGTCCTNGCAGGATGCCGCCGACCCATCCTCTCTTCTCAGAATTTAAAGTCTTGTTTTGTTTTGGCGGTGGCCAGTAAAGGGATGCGAACCCTTGACCTTGGTGTTCTCAGCGCCGCGCTCTGAAGTCAGTCCCATTACCCTCCGCTTAAAATCCTTCCCTCGTTGCCCAGGGCGCTCAGCCAGAACCGATGTTCCTCTTGGGGTCTGCAGGCTCCCTCTGCTTGGCCCGCCACCGCCTCACTGTCCCTTGGGCCCAGCGTCCTCGTCCCATCAGGCTCTCTGCACCTCCCCGCCCCCACCCCCCACGTGCTCCTGTGTGCTCAGAGTCTCTGAACTGCTGTGTCCCCAGTGACTGGAACCATGTGCCTGACACACACTGGGTGCTCGACAAACACGAGGTGAATGACCTACAGCGAGGGGACGTGAGGAGGAAGTTCAGTGAGGGACGACCTCGGTGGTGCGGTACTGCCAGGCAGGAAATGGGGCCAGGCCAGCAAGCGACCTTCGGGGGCTAGGATCCCAGGGGCAGGAAGCTGAGCACCAAGGCAGGGACAGGCCACTCTGGGACCAGCACCACTTCCCTGGGGACACTGGCCTGGGGCTGAGCCTCACTCCCCAGCTGATCCCCGTCACTGGCAGGGTCCCATTTCCCGGATCCTCTGTGCAAGGCTGATCCTCCCAGAAGACAGCGCAGCTCAGTCCTGCCCACCCACCCCCAGGCGCGGCACTCACTGTCTTTGTCTGTAGGTGGCTGCAGGGAGTAGAGGACACCTTGAGGGCCATTTGGAGAGAGGCCTGGGCTGCCTGCTGGGCCGGGGGGTCCTGGGGGACCAGGGCGCCCCATCTCTCCAGGAAGTCCACGGGGCCCTGGTGGTCCCAATAGCCCTGCAATGGGGAGAAGGGGAGCCACTGTGAGGGCTGGAGCCAGGTGGCTGAGCCACTACAAAAGGGGAAACTGAGGCCATGAAGGGGACAGGGTTGGTCAGGGTCGGTCACAGATCCAGTCAGTGGTGGTCTCTTGACCCACAGTTTTTCTGGAGGGGTGTCCTGGGACATAAATGAAATGACTTCCCTTCCCATCCCAGTCCAGAGGGGACACCAGGGGCAGCTGGGGAGGGAAGTGAGGGAGGCAGGGACAGTGGACACAGCAGAGGCTCCAACCAGATGACTGTCGCCCCCTTCCAGCGACTTTGGCTTAGGGGCAGTGACACCAAGGGTGGCTGCCAGCCTGGGCTACACCTGTCTTGACCGTGGGTCTCTTGCCCGCAGGACCCAGGAGGAGTTGGGAGGAGGGCTCTCCGGAGGTGTTGTTTAAATGGCTGAGAATAGCCCCCGGTCCCTGGTGGCCCCACATCTACGCCTGCACCCAAAGCTCCCTGAAGACCCTCTTCCTGCAGCCCAGGGTGAGATCAGGCCCTAAGGCACCTGGGGTGGGGGCAGAGATGGGGTAGTGGTGGGAGAGAAACCCCAGCCCAGTCCCCAGTGAACAACTTCAGGTTGGGGGGGTGTCCTTACCAGGAGGCCCCGCTGGGCCCTTCTCTCCAGTCTGACCCTGGTCACCTTGGAGCCTGGGGGACCTGCAGGCCCTGGTGGTCCTGTCTGCCCCGGGGGCCCTGGGGAGAGAATGAGATAAGGCCTCACAACACTGGGCCGAGCTGCCCCTGGGTGACTTCAGGCCTGCCCACCTGGACCGTCGGGTCGGACCTTCCCCCAGGACCCCGCCCACCTGGGGGTCCCCCAAAGGCAAAGGCACCACCATCACCTCAAGTTCATCAGTTGTCAGTTTGCAAACTATTTTTTGTACCTATTAAAGTCTATGATCCCAAGAACTGCTTTTGTTCCTATTTTACATGTGGAGAAACTGAGGCTCAGAAGGGTCTGGTCCCTTGCTCAAGGTCACAGGGCCAGGCCATAGCTCAGGTTTCTTAACTCCATGTTTTTTTCTCACATCCTTCTGTGTCTCTCTGCTCGGGGTCTAGAGCGGGGCTTGCATTAAAGCGCTCCTCAGTAGGCCTCCTCAGAGACACCAGGAAGCCTGGAGGGCACGTCTGCCCAGCTCCAGGTGTCCAGGTCCTGAGGGTGCAGGAGAACAGAAGACGGGACTTGAGGCCACTGTGTGGCCTGGGGACAGACTGTTCTCCCTCTGGGCTGCCTGGAGAGGAAGCTCAGGAATGCATGCTGATCTGATGGAGGGACCTGTGCTGGCTCTCAGGTCCCTTCCCTCTGGGACTGCATGTGCCTCTGGTCTGGGAGGGAGGGCTTGGCTGGGGGTTGCTGGCTTTGGGAGAGCCCCACCTGCTCTCCTGCCAGGCTGCTCCCAGGCGTCACCATTTGTAGGGTGTGCGCCCCACCTGTTGGCCATGCTTGGAACTGCACTTTGCCCCTCCCAGCCTCCGAGCTGGGGGGTTTGGGGCCTGGGTCCTCCGCGGGATAAGAAGCCTCCTCTTCCTCAGTCCCAGAAGAAGTATTTGAAGAAGGTAGGCATGGGCCAGCCCTCTGGGGGAGAGACCTTGGGGACAGTGGCTTGAGGGGCAGGCCAGGCGGCCAGAGTGAGATGCCCCCACCCTCCTGGGAGGAGGCCCGAGCTCACTCCTCCCACAGCCTTCAGTCCCTTTAGAAAAGTGCAGGATCCCTGCTTCTCCTTTCCTGGTCCCAGGACTGGCACTGCAGGCCAACTCTCCCACTCTGCTGTTCTGCCCTCCTGCTCTCCCGAACCAGGCATCAGAATAGAAACAGGACAGATGCGATGGGGGCCAGGGGTGTGCGTCGGAGCTGAATCTGGGGGTTCAACGGGGAGAGGGGAGCAGGAGGGGGCGAGGGTGTCCCCTCAAAAGCACTCTAGTGGGGCTGAGAATCACTGGAGCAAAATGCCCTGGCTTGCTGGGTGACCCTAAGGGAATTACCTAACTTCTCTGAGCCTCACTTGTCTGCTCTGTAACCCCAAGTTTCCCAAGCTTTGTGAAAAGATTAGAAATGATACTTGTACTGCCTAGGGTGATATGACAATATTTAATAACTGGCACAGCTCGGACACTGACCACTCATAATAGACACCAGCCTTAAACCCCTGCATTTAGCCGTATTGACAGGTGCAGATAAACATCCCACAGGGTAAAGCCCAGCACAGTGGCTGGTGCAGAGCAGGCGTCAATTGTAACCCTCATTAGTACAATTGTTATGACTATTCCATAGTCCCTGGGGGCAGAGCCCAGACCAGTGGGTAGAATCTGCAGAGAGGAAATTTTACCCCTGACTTAAAAACATGGCAGAAAGGGCCGGCCCCGTGGCTCACTCGGGAAAGTGCAGCGCTGGTAGCGCCGAGGCCGCGAGTTTGGATCCTATATAGGGATGGCTGGTTCACTCACTGGCTGCGGATGGTGCAGACCACACCATGCCGAGGGTTGCGATCCCCTTACCGGTCAAAAAATAAAAATGTGGCAGAAAGACAGGATGGCAGATGCCCTCCAACTCTGGTCAGAGAGTTCAGTGAGGAACCGCCAGAAAGTGGTGGCTGGCAGTAGCCCCCAGTCCCTGAGGATACACGGCAGGGGCTGCTGCAACATTGAGCCAAGCAAGGACGGGCTGGGCTGGGGGTCTACGTGCGGATGCTGAGGGGCAGGGTGAGCAACGAGGACAGTAGCTGGACCATAAGACAGTAAGGAGTGGTGGGGACTGCAGCAAACTGCAGGGCTTGGACCGAGTCCACAGTGACAACCGTGACTCAGCTGCAGCCCATTGTTCCCAGGAGGGATGGCCAGCCTGGACAGTCAGATCTTCCAGTTTTGTAAGAGAAACTAGAATTCCTGATTTTTATGTGAAATCCCCCAGGTTTTAAGTGTTAGTTCAAATTTTGTTGTTGTCATGAGCTCAATTTTTCAAAATGCCACGTGGGTGTATCTGACCCAGAGGGCCTGGTGTGTGACCTATTTGTGGAGGTCCCGGGAGGCCAAGCCTGAGGCCTTTTCAGCTGGCCTGAGCCCCACTGCAGGCCTCGCTCACCGGCCAGGCCCGTGGGTCTTCTCCTTCGGGGTCCCGGGTGGGCGAGAGGGATGGCATCAGGGAGGAAGTCCTCGTTCCTGGGCGGCGGAGTGCTCTGCGGGGCTGGCAGGTCGTTGTCTGGGCCCGAGGGCCGCTCTGCTGCTTCCAGCAGGAGAACCTGGGCCAGAGGAGAGCGGAGGGTCAGGCCCTGTCCGGGCCAGGGCGGCCACAAGCGTGTGCAGGGACACGAGCCTCAGGAGACCTGCAGCTGTCCCCTGCTGCACATGGCCGATCCCACTCCTCAGCGGGACCACCGCTCTCGTTGCTGGGATGCTCTCCCTCCCCCACCCTCTTCTGCTCCCGTATCAGGAAAGCACCCCTGGACCCTCAACTTTCAGAGTCCCTGTGCTTGTCCGTTGTGGCCCCTGTCACTGGGATTAGGTCCCTGCTTCACGGGCAGCGGGACCAAAAGGAGGGACTGTGGGATTCCTTGGCCAAGGAATATTTGTGGATGGATGGATGGATGGATGGAAAGATGGACGGAAGGAAGGAGGGAGAGAGAAAAGGAGGAAGGGAGGGAAGAAGGAAAGAAAAAGGAAAAAGAAAGAAAGAGAAGGAAGGAAGGAAGGAGGGAGGGGGAGGGGA